CAAGCGCAGTACAGCCCCCAACTCAGATTTGAAAAAAAATCAGTGGATGGATGTTTTCTGACTGGTCAGCAGACCGCCGACCGGTCGACCCTACTGGTAGGCTGCAAAACGATCGGCGGTCGGGGTTGGTGGTCGGCAGGTATGCAACCCTGCCTCCAACCCAAATGCCATCGACAGCACCACACCCTTTCTTCAAACTCTTGTGTTTTTATCCATTTCAGTAAGGTATCAGAAAATTAGACGGTGTTGCAGCAACCATCGAGACACTGTGCAACAGACAGGGTTTCCTCCCTGAATCTGCCCGTCTATGGAAGTGTCTTCTGCGGTCCAAAGTGCCCCACCATGTGGTCGATATGTGGTTCCTCGAGGAATATGGCACACAACGAACCAAACATTTGTCCACATCATCAGACAGCCAAGCACCTAACAGGCACTCTGCAAAGCAAACTGTGCAGTTTGCAGCAGGTACACCCAACCGTGCATCAGACTCAAAAGAATGCAGATGTCAATCTTCAATAACCTTGCAACAAGCTGCCGAGGTTGGTCTTCAGAAACCCTTTAGCCCATACTCACGGCAGCACAATTTAAAAGGAATTCGGTCACGATTGCGTCCAGAGACATCTGCCAGTCACATGCCCTTAAACTGCTAGTACGCCTGACCTTCATCTTCCCTGAAATGGAGACAGTCAAATTTTGTGCCCCTTTCCCTGGAGCTGTCCACTCCGAGTAACCAACCTGACCGCAGCCCCGTTCTAACCAGTACAGCAGTGTGAACCACTGCCACCTTTTACAGCCTCTGTCATTACCAGGTGTCCTACGCTTTTTAGTCGGTCTGCTGGATCAAAAATCTGATGACCGCCATCCTTTCTTCTCTCCACAGAGGTTGGCCCAATTATTAAGGGCAATAAATAAATAAATGATTCACTGATTAACGGCATACAGGTGGTACGACACGATATGCACAACAAAGTTGCAGTTGATGTTGCCACCAGGTAAAGGGCAGTGGCTGCTGCTAGTTATTGGACGGAGGAGGAGAATGTACGAGGATGACGATTACTAACACGAAAAATAGCTGAGCAAAAATTCACACATACAAGAAGAATGTCCAATACATTTTATTATTTTCTCCATTCGTAATCACAAGCTTTTTTGTTTGTCTAAATAACGATTGCACTACAGAGGCTGCTGATGAGTGGATGGAGAAGAAGATCGAAAGAGGAAGATGATTCATCACAGTAGCCAGACAGTGGCTGCTTATAACTAAATGGAGAAGAATGTCGAGAGAGGGAGATGATCCATTTCAGTGGCGATGCAGTCGCTGCTAATGACTAGACGACGAAGAAGATTAACACTTTTGAAAGGCAAAGACGACTGGCAAAACAGTGGCTGCTAATGACTACTGTCTTCACCCGAATAGAACGGCCGGTCATTATAGCATTATTTGGCGCAACTTTCAGTCCAGGTGCAGCCACACTGACCGAGCGTTCTGTTCGGGTGAAGACGGTAGTCAGAGATGATTCCAAAGAGCAAGTTAAATTCATTACGTTTATGAAACCACACAATCTAAGCCCTTCCAGAGGTTATCATGTGCATATGGCAAGGGAGCAGTATCTCCTTCACTGTAACAAATTGGAGGGATGGCAAGTAGTCCCCACAGGTTCAGCTCACACGCAATACGGGCTATATCTTACGCGTTAAGTATTCCTCATAGGTTCAGCTCACACCCCATGTGGGCTAAATTTTACGCGTTTGTGAAACCTGACGAGGTGACACTGAAACAAACTGTTCAGTTTGAACCCTAGCTGGAACTAACTGCACTTAAAACACTCCAAAAGATAAGAGTAGGATTGCACACTCCTTGGGCAGTATCTCCTTCGCTGTAGCGATTTGGCGGCATGACAAGTAGTCCCCACAGGTTCAGCTCACACGCCATGTGGACTACATCTTACACCTTTATGAAACCTGACGAGGTGACACTGAAACAACCGGTTCAGTTTGTGCACCCTAGCCCTAGCTGGAACTAACTGCACTTAAACAGTCCAAAAGAGACAGTAGGATTGCACACTCCTTGGGCAGTATCCCCTTCACTGTCCGGTCGGTCGTATATATGATAAGAAAAGCCTGCGCCACAAGAATTCTTGAAGTTGCAGATTCCCCCCTGTCAACAAAGGGTAATGAAAAACACAGGCATGGACATGCAAATTGGTATTGGGCGCCTTCTCCTTGCTCCCAGGAAAATAGAGGGTGGAAAAGCTTTATACCGATCCACCCCAGGCACTCCCCCTCCCAGGCTCCGCAATCGCCGTGAATCCACCCCCAACCACGTAGGCTAACCACACCCCCTTAGCAGAGGGTTGACCTCCGGAACAGGCGGGAAACTGTGCCCAGGGCAGGGCAGGAGAAGGGAGCGCATCTTCACACTGCAAATGCAGCGCATGAGGTGGAACCAGGGTGAGGCATGGAGGGGTAGGGTCACTGTGATCCACAGAGCATGCACCCAAGAGAAGACTGCAGCATGTACTTAAAAGAAGAAGACCACACACAAAGACGTGGCAGACAAAGGGCACAAGCTGCAAGAGGACATATACCTCTGCATGAGCAATTTCAATCTCTCTCCGGTCAATCGCTCCATGACTTGAATGCTTCAACTTTGTGGTCACCACTAGATGGCCATATCTGTTTACCTCGCCTTCCTCCAGAGGGAAGTAACGCCCACACTTAATCTGAACACACACAACCGGATTCCAACAGAGAAGAAAATTATGAACATCTCACAAGCAGCAAAGTGTGCAAATCTGCAGGCACTTAATGACCAGGACTACAACCAATACCCTTAAGAATATCCCACTTCACTGAAACCATACCAGATATATCCCCTTTCACTGAAACCATCTCACATTATGTGCATGACTACAATCATTCCCATACCAGAACCCAAACTCCCATTTGCTGAAACCAGAAAAATAAGTCCATCCACACCGACATTGAATCAGGCTCTTTTATATTAATTTCAAACCATCTAGCAATAGACAAAGCTGGCCTCGGAAGTGGGGGGGGAAACACAGGATCACGAGTCAGGGCTCCAGAGCCTCACTCGGTTATGCCCTCGTCTATAAAAAAAAAAAAAAACTGGGGGAATGTTGTGGGGGGGGGGGGGGGGGGGGGGGGGGGGCAAGGAGCCCTCGGGTTGTTGTATTCGTCTGATTGCACTAGAATGTGACTCATGATCTGTTTATCAAGGGCTACACGTATGTACCATTCCGCCACAAGGCAAGTACTCACACGGTTGTTCTCAATCTCTTTTGTGAGCATAATCACCGCCTTGCAACGTTGTTCCTTTACCATCTGCCAGAAGTGAGCAACAGTGGGCGGCAGTGGCCCTTGCGTTGCAATATAAAGTGGAAGACCCTCCTCCATGCCATCATCAAGCTGCACAAGGACCAGACAGGCATTAGGACACAGCAGCATGAAAGCCAAAATTAGAACGGCTAAGAATACCAGCTGGTTATGATTCCAGAAACCTTGCCTCACGCCATTGAAAGTCCAAAAAAAGGGCGTCAAATTCTCCAAGGGTGTTTGAGGGACAACGAAACAAGAGGCAGTAAAGTGTACAAGGCTGCCAACTTTCTCGCACACCATTGTGCTCAGTTGGCTCATAACCCCGTGCCCTACCTGTCCTTGGGAGCCGCACTGACATGAACACCACCGGAAGCCCGTCATGCAAACCTACAACCGACTCTAAGGAACTCTCGCCACCTCCCCCACCTCAAACGGAAGACGTTGGAGCCATCCAATCTCCCATCAAGTGCTGTCACCAGCCTCCTCGTCATCCTCATTATCATCATCCTTTCTCCACCATGTCCCTGGCATTTTTTCCTCGCAAGCTGGAGTTCAAAGTTTCATTCCGAATTGGACACTCAGATCCTCATTTCCTCTTTGCCACACCCATCCTTGAATGTCACTGCCATGCACACTCTTCGAAGACCATTGCTCAAACCCACTGCCAAACACCTTCCTTGTTATGCAAATGACATCAAAACCCATGACATCTTTTTTTCACCAGGTGGGTACCAACCGACCTCCTTACCCTGCTCCATCTCCACCACCCTTCTCTTCCACCCACTTGTCTTCCTTTCCCTCCTCATTACCGTCATCAGTTAACATCGTCGTCGCCACTGCCACCATCCTCTTCTCCTCTTCCTCCTCTTCTTCTTGTTCCACCTTGTCATCTTCTCATCATCACTGCAGCAATTCAGGCATGACTTTGCTTTTCCCTCATTTACACACAGCAAATTATGTACAGAGCCAGCTGTGTATGGTTGACTGGTCTTAATTAAACTCGAAAGAAAAGAAAAAAAAAAGTGACCCCCCTCCTCCCGCCCCCAAAATTTCCTTCAGGCGTTCCTTTTTACTCTTCAACAAGCACACCCTTCCCTCTCTCTCTCTCTCTCTCTCTCTCTCTCTCTCTCTCTCTCTCTCTCTCTCTCTCTCTCTCCAGCATGCACTCCCCACTTTCCCTACCATTCGTTGCTCATCCATTCTCCCATTCATCATGATGGAGCATTATGCCTTTATGCTGGTCTTCACACAAAAGCAACTGCTGTAGCTGGATAGTGCCAGCTGGCCAGCTAGAGTAGGCAGAAGATAGGAAACAGGGAGAGTGCAAGATAGCAGACTCCCTCCTCCTGACTCCAATGTTAAGCATCATCTTTCCAGGACACCATTCCCGAATTCATACATCACTCCAGCAGTTGTCTCATTGTGCGTAAAAACATCGGTCGCATTTTACGACAAAACATCGCTTGGACGTAAAAACGTTTGCCTCACACTCTCCACCACCTGCTTCACCACCTGCTTCACCACCTGTTAGCGCCGCATGGACTACAGAAAAAGAGCATCAACGGATGTCCCCGATCTGCAACAAAGAGAAGCAATGGTCATCATTGTCATCTTCATCCACCTCTTCAGTTCGCTACTCTCCTCACCTTCCAACTCCCATTCTTCTCCCCACCTTCTCTTGCACCTTTGACCTCTAGTCAATGAGAGCACTGCCCAGACTTCCAACAGCATCACTATCTAGTCATAATAGCATCACCAGTTCTAACTCTCCGCCATCCCGGTGTGAGGTAACCCGGGGAAGGGTCGCCTCCCGTTCGCCGAAGCCAAGGGCAACGGCGCCTGTCACTCGCCGCGCCCGCCTCCGAGGTCCTCGGCGATCAGCAGGGTATCTTATGTGAACCACCTGCCACTCCCCRTACTCTGGGGGAAATTCAATATCATTACTCTGTCACGAAAAGAAACAAATTGGCCTACCCAATCAAACCACTCGCGTCCCTTGGGTGAGCTCAGATCTTAAGCTTGGACGAACCACAAGGGTTCTGCCCGCTAAGCTTCAGAAAGGTTCACTGCTGGTCAAACAGAACGGCTGCAGAACAAACAGAGAAGACGAGCATGCATTAATTGAATTAAAAAATAATAATAATAATAATGTCCACTCTATCAATGAGCGATTTGGGGCAGATATCAGCATGCCAATCGACGGGGAGGATTCCTCGCTGGTCAGCCAAGTCGCCCCGACGACATGTCCTTGTTCCCTCCTGCAGGTAGTGAAGCATACATGTTCCCTAGCAGCCAGAAATCAGGCGCGTGTGCAGTATTTACCAATGGTCGTTTATAAATCTCTTGGCCGAGAAATTTTCAACTGAAACCTCTGCCCATTACGTGGCTTGGGGTTCGCCAGAACATACTYATGGGGTAGTAAGCATTAACAGGATCAGGCGAGTCTGCTCCAGGTGAGAGAAAAGGGTATTGAAGCCTTTGGGAGTCGGGAGAATAGTTGAGTACAGTGACAAAAATCAG